TCACCAAGCGCGAAGCGCCGTGAGGTATTCGGCGAGTCGCATGAAGGGTGCGCTGCATCCTGCTAAGGGTGTTGGGCATCTTGTGTTTACTTCCTTGCATACGGATGACAACTGCGTATGACTTATTTTATTTTTGGTGCTTTCACTTCCAGGGACATGTATGGGCACTGTCTTTGGGGGTACTCGTTTATATGCATGCCGTAGAAGGTAGACCATAAACCTCGCACCCCGACAAGGTGGGGATGGAGTGATATGCCGACTCAGGCTACGGTTTACAAGGATGAACCAGAAGCTCGTCGTCATCCTTGCATTTACTGGCGAAACCAGATACGCCATGCGTTGATTGGGCATCCCGGCTTTCACGTTCGGCAGGTATAAGTCTACTTGGAGTACCGCAAGGGACTTCGATCTTTACGCGCTTGTAAACGACAGGAGTGCCACACACAGCGAGCACGTCGCTTCGTGTGTAATACAATTGGAGAACAATCTGCTTTTATGCTTCAGGAGGAAAAGTTATTGATCGAGTAACATTGATCTTTAAGACAAGTGGGTTTTTTTCATTCGAACTATCCAATGCTTTTTGGACAAACCTATAGGGTGTGAACTGCAGGACCGAAGCCCACAAGCTCACAGGATATACCGCATTCAAAACCCCCATACCCTATATATGCAATTTTAGAGCTCTATGCCACACGAGCCAACCCTACCTCGACCAATCCACCCTCGAACCTCACAGCTAGGGGGATTGTCGGTCTCAGTTTCACGTGAGGTATGGTATGGGGGGCGGGGAGAGGGAGAAACCCAACGGAGAGAAAAAATATATATATAATGTCAAGTAAGGATGACTGCCTGTCGAGGATTGACGAGGGGGTCCAGATTTGAGACGTGTACCCAAGATTACCGGTGGAGGTGCAACCCATCCGAAGACCTGATGTTCAGGTCAAAACGGAACACGACCCTACAGCTTGTGAAGCCAGGGTGGGCGGTAGTTGATGGTGTGAGAATGGCGAAGCAACATCATGACAGAATCTCGAAGAAAGCGACAGAAATATAGGACAAGGCACTATTCACAAGAATGTGGTTCAAACGGTCGCACGACTGATCGGCATGACAACTTGGTGAGGCAGCGGTAGGACATTACTCAGACTACGTACTGGATAACGTCAAAACGTTGGACGACAAGAACGACGGTACAGCAGGTATGTGGCACCCGCAACCATCTGATCTCTACAAGCGTGTGCTGTTGCTTGCTGCTGAACGTGAGGTTGGAAACGAGTCGGAAACAGTTGCTAGCGACGTGTGTGTATCATTTATGTAGCGGCGGTAGACCGAAATTTCCACGGGAGCCTGAAGGTTAATATAACTACAGGCAACAAAGTACGTTGAAGTGCGCAGAGGTGACCAGTCTGAGCATGGAGGGCGTGGATTGATAGGATCGAGGTTCTTGGTGTGTCACCACCTCTCGATTCCAATCCGCGGGTACCCGCATCGGATTCCTACATCCGATGCCTACCTGGTGATTCTGATCACCACCAAGTGTGAGAAAGAGATCTGTGCCATTGCCGCTGTGCCTGAGCACCTAACTGCCACGATACGTGCTTAACGGTGAACTGCTGTGAACGCTGACCCAACGGAGTGGAGATTGGATAGTGTTTGCTTGCGGAGTCTTGATGCGCTAACCTGCCTGCTTTGCCTGATCGAACTCACAGTAGAGGTAAGCCACATGATCTCATGACGTAGAAGAACATGAGAGCGTGCGTATCTCCGTAGACTTGTCATGAACAGACCGAGCTCCCAACCTTTGCTGCTACATGGTACGCGTACGGAGAATCGAACTCCGGGCAAGTGCTTGGGAGGCACTTGTGCTAGTTGGCATCGACCGTGCTAACCGGCTGACCATTGAAAATACGTCAGGGCTTTGTGGCGGGACATGAAATGTAATCGCGCTGTCATATCATTGGGCTTCTCCAGAGGGGGGGCGCTGAGGAGGTTGGACGATAGGGTCTAGCCTCCGGATTCAATGTATTTGCGATGAGATTCAGCAACATTATGTGGCATTCCTACAGAGGTGTTTGCTCCTGCGGTAGCATCATTTCCCTGCCGGGGGCTACTCTGTGTCAAACTTCTCTTCGCTCAGTTGGGCTGGCCACTGCTGTAGCTTCAGCATGTTTTCCCCTGCGTCTCTTTTGGATCTCTCGCTAACACCATTGTTCTGGAAGGTCTACTACTCCTCCATTTTTTCGTTATCGACAGCTGCTGTGTGTGCGTTTTGTCTTTGTCATCCCATCTACAATGTAGTGGGCGCCAGCTTACACCCCTCGGTACGTGTTTGACACGCGAACCAGCCAGGATAACGTAGACACATGGAAGGTACTGTAGAAACACAGGAACGTATACTCTTCGCCCGTGTTTTGATGGGTTTGGACCATTTGTACATACTGATATCGAACTCACCCTACCGGTGAAACACGACATGATACGGCCCCTTGACCACCTCGGAGACTATTTACCAAACAAAACAGTCTTGAACGTTTCCCTCTGAATCTCGCAATATTGCGTCGGGTTTTGCGTCCTACCATGAAACTCTTAGAAGTGGTGTCCACCTGCCGTTCGTTGCTACCATCAGAGCAGCATCTTACGGGAACATTCAGCATTCTCGACCTACTTTCATTCGGCTGGTAAAAAAGTATGCGCACCAAACTTCTTCCGACGAATGATGAGCAAAATGCACGTTCTTATGCAAACAATAACCGGCAAGAAAGACTCACATGGCAGCATGCTCGACACTCTTTGCCTGCGTTGAAGTAGTTGCATAGCGTCACGCCATAGCTTGGGTCGCCAACATCCTTCAGGCACGTCGTATCGCACACCATAGACCTTGAACGCTGGGTGAGTATGCGCTGCTCCAGCCTGGACATGCCGTCCCACGAGCAGGTCGAGCAGTCGTATTGTTCCGGGTCGTCGCTGAAGTCATAGCTCCCGGGAGACTGGCTTGCCACGATGTTCTCGTCAAACTTGTCGTCACCAAACAAGACCCATAAATCGTTTGCGTCGTCACTGTCGGCGTCGAAAGAGTCATCTTCGTCGTCGGACTCATTGGAAGTGGAAACCGTAGCTGCTTTGGCGCCAGAGCTGTCAGCGACTGAGCACAGCACGCACGACTCATCATCCGTGTCGCAAGCATCTCTGCAGAAGCTACACCCTGCGGCGCCGTAGGCGGTGCACCCGACCGCAGTCTCGAAACCATCCGAGCAGCACCTTGCGGAATCGTACACAACCTTCAGCTTGCTCTCCTCTGGGAGGGGTAGATTGGCGGCCTCGTCTACAATGGGCAGCCCAGGACAGCACGCGTTTCCGTCTCGAGAGCCGCAACAATTGTCGGTGACAATTTCGTCCGCCGTGGCGGTGGACACGACGAGGAACGCAAATGCTAGACGATTCGCCCTCGTACGCACCATGCTGATAGCGTCTACGATCAATCAACTGTTGATATATCTCTTCTGTACGTGTCTTGTTTCACACCATGAAGCGCTTGCGTGGTTAAAATTCACGCTGTCCTTGCATCATCGAAAGGAGTGCAGCATCTCGGGTGGCTGAGACGGCGGAGAACGAAAAATGAGAAAACACGACGAGCAGTTGGACCGAATCGGCACACATTGCTCCGCAAACAGTCTTGATTACCATCCAACGGGCACAATCACCGTCACCACACTCTCACACTACATTCTTTGAAGTTCTGTTAGAGTGTGAACGTATGATGTGCATAAATGCCATCAGAGAACGACCCCGTTCGAGAGAATACTCCATTCGAGGTTGACCGAATGTCTTGTGGATTGGTCCAAATATCATGGAGAATGAACCTTCAATCTATCCGGAGGAAAATTCCAGACCCGGCGCGTTGAGCGAATCAGTAAAAAACCATAGCATAGTCTACGACTTTGAATCCATGATGAAATGAATTATCTTGGAATTATATTGTAAATTGATCTGCTTCGCCTACATTAGACCGAACAGTTATAGGCACAGACAGCAGAAATGCAACGTGGTGTGGGATCTTATTATTCCGCAGGGAATCCGGAGACTGGACCGCGACCGTGTCGTGCCTCTCCTCCTCCACGGCCCCTCGCTCTCTGGTTGAGCCCGATGATGGCTAGATGTGTGTAGAACGTGTGTCCGCCTTTTCGTGCCGTCAAAGGAACACATCCGCGCAATTACCTCTCAACACCGCAAGACTACCGTCGAGATAATCCCCGTGTAAATGGGTGCATTGAGCGAGGTGATGAGTGTTGATTGTGGAGTTATTTTGAGTCTACGGCAGTACTGCTGTATCGCTTTAGTTTGTTCACGACAAAAAAACGGAATACTTAGTCTACATTTAGTCCACCCACCCGAGGCGGTCGAACAAAAAAAAATCCGTTTAAACGACCTTACTTTTCGCAAGGAAACATATCGATTGCCAGAATTCCCTATCACATTCTGAACACAAAATGAGAGTGGGGACCGTGGCCTTGGATGGTAGGTATTGGGAGATATGCCCAAGTGGTCGTGTCCCGATGAAGTCTTCTCCCAATGATGCACTTGGAACATCAGCCCGCGTGCGTTCGCACTCTCTCCCCAACGTTCTGTCTGAAGAGTGCAACGGTTTGGTGGTGTAATACACGTCTCACCACGAAAAATGGGGGGACTGTCGCCATTATCAATAGGAATCGATCTACTGAGCGAGGCGGCGAAAGCCGCCCGACCACCTCGTAATAATTAGGACGAAGACACACGTGACGTACGTGCTACCTGGAAAGCCGTCAACCCCTTGTCTGACAGAATGACTCCTCTCCCCGAGCACCTACACCCACATTCTGTTCGTGCCTTCGAGCACTTCTTGTACCCAAGCAAACAGACAGAACAAGCAGCTCCAAACAACACTTGTCGAAGGAGGCTCAGCAGCGTCTCCGCTGACGAGACTCCAACACACGATCTCACGCTTCGAAGGTTCGCGAGGGGACAACCTCTGGGCCACCGAATACATGTCCCATGCGTTTCGCCCTCAACAACAAACATCCAAGAACGACAACACTGTCCCGCCACACATCGACGCACCAAAACGAGCTATAGATGGTGCTATTTGTACAATTTTTACTTTTACTTTGTGCAACACTGCAAGGTTTGAAACCGCACGCAAAGCTGGAATCTCTCTCTTATCCTTCGACGCCGAGAGACGATTCGCGTGTTGCTGCTTTGCGCGCGGCAAGCCTATTGGGCAGCGAAAATCGGAGCTACCGCGGACGTAGCGCGCTCAGTATCCGCGCACCGTCAACCGTGCAACTTCAACACTATCTTCTTCGCGAGGTCCGACCCTACGGTGGCGACGTACGTGCTGAGCACGTCCCTAACGAGCGCCTGCGAGTGAGGCGTGAGCGCAGAGAAGTTGACGGGGAAAGAAGGTTGGCCTACCATCAGAGGTATATCGTTGATCCCAGAAGCTTCGTCTGCTGCTGCCTGAGCCGCGCGCGCCGCTGCCGCCCGTTCCGCCGCAAATCTACGCGCTGCTGCCGCCGCCGCCGCGATTCCCATCATTTCGCCATGAGTTTCGCGGCCGAACCGGCTTGTCGCTGCACTCTCGTCTGCTTGGATGGAGCGAGCGGAAGAAGAATAGCCGTTGCGAGACCGTCCCCGCCCGACCTCGCGCCGATCTGGCGACAGCGAAGACAGGGGAGAATAGGAACCCGAGCTCGGCGACGTTTGTCCCGTGGCTCGTGATCCTCTCGCTAACTCCGAGTCCGCTGCATCACGCTGCGGAAACCTGCCGCCATCGGCCGGTCGTACCGACGAACCAAAACCCCCACCCGCACTTCCCATGCTGCCAGATCTTCGAGGTTGGGATCCGTTGCCCACTCCGGCATCTGATCCAGAAACAACTTGGGACGGATGAGCAGCCGGCACAGGTGAGCCAAGTAAGTTTGACAGACAAGCGTACTTGTGGACGTCGAGAACCGGGCGGCAGAGCTCGAGAGGCACCCACGTGAGGCGCTCAGGGCAGAGAAGAAAGGACGGGGTGTAGGAGCCCTTGTACGACATCTTGGGACATGTGTGTATGTAGAAGCCCATGTAGTAGTCTCGTAGAGCTGGTCTCACCACGCTAGCCTGCCAGTGGGGGTTGGCAAGCCCGGTGCAGCGCACGGAGGAAGGCGCAGGCACGTCAAGTTTATGGACGGCTGGGAAGTAGAGACGTTCGCGCATATGGAAGGGTAGGATAAGGATCATATCGTCGCTGCGAACAAGCGATTGAGGTGTGGTGGGCAACTGAATCACCCGCCCTTTTGCCAGCCCGACCACATACCACTGGAGCCAAAGGCAACCCCCCCGGCCAGTCAAAATCACAAGGGGTGTGTATATTTCATACTACTAGTTCAGGTCATTACGATTACGCAACGGAGCGGTAGTGATCCATCCGCACCTCTCTGATGAACTCGGTCTCCTTCAGGGCCGTCAGCTTACCCAGCGCGAGCGCCCGGTAATCTGGATCATAAAAGCAGTACACCGACGACTACCCAGGAGGCAACATGCAACACGAAGATCAGGTCGGGCGGAGTTTCAATTAAGCAGAGCAATGACTCAAGTGTAACCACGGCGACAGATCTTGCAGTCAATCTCTATACCGCTGGGACCTTGATGCTTTGTACGCCAGAAAACCACGGGCAGAAAAAATCGGAAAAAATCGAACCAAACAAAAAGCACAACGTTGAGCCAAAACAGCAGGAAATCAATGAAGAGGGTATGGCATGAACGCCTGTCGATAGCAGCGACGCGATCGAAAAGAGCAAAACGCGTGGCTACAGCCGACTTGGCCACCTCCAACAATATTTCAGTCGATCCACAGAAACATGAGCTACGAAATATTTCTCAAGGTTGCGATGCAGCTTTAACACTCACCAAGCACTTGGGCAAGACGTCGACGACCCCGACCGCAATAAGCTTGCCATCGATGCGATAAAGTTGGTGGTAGCTTCCGTAGGGCACGGAAAGGCTATCTCGGCCCTCTGTCATTTCCGAACTCTCGTCTTCGGCATTTTCCTGCACGCACGTAAAGGCGCGGGTGAAAGATGGTGTGAAACACGAGCATCCCACTCTCCAAATAAAAAAACAAACCGGGGCTCGCTCTGAAGGGAGGACCGACGCCTAACCAACAGTAAGAGACGGGACGATCGGCAGTACTGCCAGCGTTACGTTCACAGGCGCAGCCCCACTCATAAGTGATGCGTGGGCGTAGCTGCAGGGACAACGGAAATAATCAATTTCTTCTACCTGAAGACGAAACAATCCTGGCCACAGTAATATCGTCCTGGTCATGAACAACCTTCGCACAATGTGCGGTACGCACAACAGCACACGTTTGAAATCTTGCAGGCGTTGAAACGCTCGTGTCGTCCCCCTCACCTGCACTCCACAATCGCCAACATGAAACGGCGACCCGCCAGTCGGCCCACGCCGGAACGAGGGTTTTCTCGGTCTGACGCTGGCTCCGCCGATCGTTTCGCGAATGAGCGGGCTATCCACGAGGAAGCGGCGGAATTGGTCTGGAGTTACCTCCGACGGCTCGTCGCCGTGCACGCTCACCTGCTCGACAACATCGGGAACGATGCGTGTGTCGCCTTCTCAACGTGGCAGCTAGACAAGGCGGTATGCATGGGATTGGCCAGAGTCTCTCCGCAGTGCCATACAGATTATGAACGTAAACATGGCGTGGATGCCTGATGACAAGGGTACTCTCGCTGTTCGAACCAGGAAAGTCCTACCTGCCTTTTGTGAATTCACGAGAACACCCACCATGTTGATTGACGGCACGTTTGCAAAGTACCCTCCCGATCGACACCGACAGCCGCGCTCGCGAGCACAGCCGAACTTAATCTTCCTCCTCTAGTTGTCACAGCGCTGTAAGTGGGCGACGTACCGACACTGACCTGATACTTCACGTAGAGTCTAAACACCTCGTCCGTCACGCGCGCAGGCACAGTCGACACCGTCATGCGGTGTGGTTCCACTGCGGGGTCGAGCCGTGGCAAGCTAGCAAGACCCGTTCTCGACTCTGAGCCTGATGGTGCTTGCGGCGTGAACCCTTTCGGCGCAGCCGCAGTCTGCAGAGAATTTGATTCATTCGAAACAGCAGCAGTGCTCCAGGTGAGAAAATACTCAGAACTTTCCCGCTGATTCGTTCGAGTTAATTGGGCCGGGGATGATTCGACCTAGACCTTCGCCGTAACTACTAGTGCATAGAGCGAACAAACGCATAGCACGCGTGTTAGGCCTACTTCACTAGTCGGGCCACGTCGGTGAAAGCGAGCGTTTCCCGCAAGCAACGCGGATAACGCGACCCTATTCGTACATATCGGTAGCAGATAGCAAAAGTCTTCAAGCCCCCGCAACAGCGAGGGAGGTGAATACATGTACGAAAATCTCGATGACAGCAGTACGCCGACTCAAAATACTACTTAGTAGAACGTTTGAGGATAGCGCGCCGCTGCATCTGCCCCTTACTCTCCTCCTGCCGGTACCACACGGGATAGCCGTGATCCCAAGATTACCTCACCCCCCCCCACAACAGACGACACTACCCGTCAGGTACAACTAGGCCACTCGCAACACTCCCGCATACCTCCGCGTGCATGGCTCCCTCGTTGTTCCCCTGCCTTTCAATCCACTCCATCCGTGCTGCCGCAGCCGCCGCCGTGAACGGACCATCACCCTCGTGTCTCGTGGTTGTTCTGGTTTGCCCTAACCGGACACCTTCGGTCGGCAACGCCGCCGCCTCGCCCGATGAGCTGAGCACTGCCTGCGCCGGGTTCACATCTCCTCCCGTCGTTTCCGACCCTGAGGAGCTATTTCCTCCTTCTGGTCTGCCCCCTTCCATTGGCATCAGCTTTACCGTTGACCTGCTCGCCACAGCGCCTCTAACCGAAGCACCACCGACTGGCGGGATGTTGGGAGGAAGAGCAGAGCCAGGGGCCGGAGGAGAAGGCGGAGTCGCTGGCGGGGTCGGAGAGCCGCTAGGTCTGGCTTGGAGTAGCGCGTTTGGTGGTGGGAGTTGTGCGTGGTTCTGGGATGCCTTCTCCGAGAAGAACAAGAGAGAGAGAGAGAGAGGAAGGGAGGGAGAGAGGGGGGGGGGGGGGGGCAGGAAGAGAGAGAGAGTGTAATTGACGTACGATGCGCAGAAGTCATAACGTGGTGTTTTTCCCGTCCTCGCGTTTGTTGCTGATGCTGAAGTGTTGCATGCAGAAGACCNTGTGGCACTTGAGTCGTTGAGGTAATTTAATTTCCTCGCACTTGCACCTGCACATGGATATGTTTCTTCGCTTCCCCGTACATTTAGGAGCTGTCGCCACAACGTGGTAGAAACACTTAGTTGAGAGACACCGTTCCCGATGCCCTCAACACGAGTGGGCTATTGATGCCGAGAATACTACGGTGGCTTAAACAGAACAAAATAGAGACGAAACAGACGAAACGTAGGTACATGCAACGAAGTCCGCAACACTACACACGGCGGTGAGGGTTGGGCGTGAACCAAAAGGTGCTTCAACACGACGCAGGTTGGAAAGGATGGCGAATGATGAGCGTGCTGCAATCTTTGATCTGCTGAGGGGGGTGACATGCACCGCACGAGAACACAGGGTCGAGTTGCTCACCGAAGTGCAGGACGGCGCAAAACCCGCTTCGAGGTTGATAAACCCGTTGGGTGCTACAGCTATTGCCGAAAGCACTGGCCCCTTGCCACCCCCGCTCGCTGCTACTCTCAGCTTCTCCGCCGTAGCCTCAGCGATGGCGACCGCCCCACCGCCGCCCCCGACTCCGTGCCAGCCTTGCTTGCGTGCAGCGGAGGCGATGCGAAGTGCTACGGGGCTGCAAAAACCTCCACCAGATGCCAGCACGTTCTTGTTTCGAATGGGCCTCACCTGTGTCCAGGCGGTGATGACAAACGTCCAACATCGGAAGAACAGCACCCGACAGCAAAACACCGGTTGGGGTGTGATACCGAGAGACACGACAGCAGCGATAATCGGAGAGCGACTCTGCTACGTCGTGACGAGCCTGGAATACCCTGGAGGACTCAACCGATGGGCACATGCCAAGCTTTGTGTGCTACCTGGGGCGCAAAGACAACAACACACCGCGCCATATGATTGGCACCAGATGGGTGATCACCAAGTCACCTCAAGCAGAACAAAAAGAACAGGACATCCGCCACCTATATCACACATGGCTTGCACCCCCGATCGTCATGATTTAGAAGTACAAGCAAACACCCCTGCATGTATCACCTCAGGAACGTACCATCAAGAGTAGAGACACAGACCTACCAAGGGGGGCTATCACCGAGTTGCCGGTATACCAATATGTGCAATCCCCCCCTTCTCACCTGAGACCAACCCAACACCTCCGATCGCCATCCCGGCTCGAAACCTAGACCAGGTACCGCCCCACTCTCCATTGCAGCGAGCGCAGCCACCGCTATGCGCTCGCTCAACGCGCTGAGCCTTTCTGATTTTTCTCGCCGAGCGTCACCGTTTCCAGAAATACCCTTCCCGCGTTGCGCCTCCTGAGGCAGGTTCCGTTTCTTCTTTCTCCCGTCAATAGCACCGTTGCTGCTGTTGCTGCCACCCCCCGCGTCCCCTTGGCCGTTGGTGGCATCCGTGCTACTACCAGCGTCCTTGTCGCCGTCAAGGTACCGCCTCAAGCGGTTTAGCACGTGCCGTTGCCCCTTGGTGTGCTTGAAACGGGTCACGTCCAGACGGATGGTGTACTGCGGACAGCAAGTCTCGTGCATCACGGGCTGAGATTTGTCGCCCACAGACACAACGTTTTGTGGAGTTATGGGGAGAAGACAAAAGGAGCTACTTAGAGTCAAAGTCATGAGTATTGGATCTCTCCGGCAATTGCACTGATCGATTGTAAATTGTAGATGCATGCTTGTACCCGAAAGCGGGAGGTAGGCCTAACATAAGGGAACAAACATGTCAAGCAATGCTCCGCATCTTCAGCGGTGCTTCAAGTTGTACGTACATTGAATGGTCGGACTTGCCGGGGATGACAATACATTTTGGTGGGCATGCCTTTCGTTCGCACATACTAGTACAAGGGAGTGGAGTGCACACGAAACCGCCGAATTACCTAACCTCCTCGACGGTCCGACAACACCGCCAGCTACTAATACAGCAGTGTCTGCTAGTAAACGAATGGGGACCTTCTCATGCGAAAGATCCTCCGGTTTACCAAGCAACTTTCGTCGAACTTCTATACGATAAAAACTGAGTCATCCCACCGGGAATTTCCGGGCGGTGACCAAACCGTGCTTTGCACAATAAGCACCGCAGAGCCGATGGGTGCCGCACGACAAAAGGCTGAATCATCAAACGAACACGGACAGCGAACAAGGCTCACGCACCAGAGCGGGGCCACATGTCGCGACCAACCTACGCAAAATGATGTACACGCCGCACGAGAAATTCTGTGGTTTTCCATACGCCATGGACCCACCTTTCTATTCAGTATGCATCTACTGTAGCTCACAGCACCAAAGACGGAGTTAACTGGGAGTGCCTGGCACCTTCGACCTTATCATTGAAAAAGTGTTCCATCAGCCTCAGCCTGCACGGCAGCAGCAGCAGCTCTCCTAGGAATGGGACCTTCACACACGCTGTTTTCTGCGTTACTTTCTCGAACCTTGCGCTTCCTGCACATATTTCATTCTACGATTCCAAGCGTAAGCTGTTTCGTTGCAAAGGCAGCCTTACTTGCCAAGACAAACGCTCACGTTTCTATGTACATTGTGTTTTGCATCTGTGCGTAACTGCTGTACGACAAAATGGACCGCTCTTGTACACGTCCACCGAGAATGTCAAGAGGAACAAGTGTAACAAGCGATTTCAACTTCCGAAGGTCACTCTTCTCGCGTCAAAAAGCGAAGACAAGCACCGCAGGGGTAGGCAGCGGGCCTCAGGGGGAGAACCCTTCTGTGTGACCACGGAGCTCCAACTGCTGTGTATACCGTAAATGACACAATATAAGAAACCCCGGTGGTAACATTTTGGGGCTTGAAAATATTACCACCCGGTCTGCTATACTGTGGGGGGTGTGATATATTGTGTACCCCCGGTGATAAAGTGCAGCTCGCATCGGTCCCAAGGGGGTGTGATAAATAAGGGGGTGTGATAGCGCGTCCGAACACCCACAGCAAGGGGGTGTGATAAATAAGGGGGTGTGATAGCGCGTCCGAACACCCACAGCGTGTGTTTGGGGGTGTCATAACAAACGAACAGCCACAGCGTGTGTTTTGGGGTGTGATAAAATGAGGGGTGTGATACCGATACACTGCACACCATTACCGTATAGAGTCGAACCGCTGCTGCCGTACACCTGAAAGGGTGTGGTATTGCGGAGGTGTGATAGGTATACATGCCTGCACCAACACGTGTAGTGTATTTAGGGACCTACGGTACCTAAAGGGGCGCGGGACAAAAAACAAAGTGGCTCAACCGAGGTGAGGGAACGCCTGAGCACATGGCCTCGGCGAGATCAACCTTCTCAACGCAAAAAAAAAGGAAACACGAGACGGGCTTGAATGGAGCAAGAAAGTATTGTAAGTCGAAGGTATCTCGCCCAATACGATGATTGGCGGTGGGCACAGAGTGCGCCATCCTTTCTGCCCCCCTCACAAAAGGTTGGCTGCTGCGTGCCTTGCTTTGGGTACGAACCAAAGAGAGTTACCTAGGTACCTATACCGGTACGTAAGAACACCACGAACAAGAATCAACGACCGCAAACCGCAAACCAACGAAACACCAACAACGTTGCACTCCACGCGGCGAAGAAAACAGGCGACTTTTTCTTCACACTCGCTCAAAGACGCCCGACGGCAGAGAAAGATACGCCAGGAAAAACCCAAGGAAACATGAGAAGACACCACAAGCCATTTTCTCAACACTAGCATCGCTGCCGATGCCTCACAGCTCCCCGCCCTCGTCGTCGCTCACGTCCACCACCACCACACCCGTCTCGTCGTCATCGTCGATGTCCAACACCTCCAGCAAGTTCTCGTTCTTGCCTCCTGACGGCGGGTCAGCCTTGTCCGCAGCGTCCGATGGCCCGCGGATGGGCTCCCCCTTGGCGTTGGAATCGAGCTCCTTGTTGGCCCAGGCCTCGTCTCCCGACCCGTCGTAGGGCAGCAGCAGGCCAGCCTTCCTCCAGCTCGAGCGGATTTCGTCCGCGGTCAAGGCATCCCACGCCTTCTTGACCCACTGTGCGACCAAGCCCCGCGAAGGGGGCTCCGGATAGCCCCGCTCGTTGCGCGTGACGTCTTTGGAAGCCATGTGGTCGTCGTAGAGCTTGGACATGTTTGCCTTGAAGATCTTGTTGACCAGGCCATCGCAAGGCTGGAGCTTTGGAGTCAGGCCTCCCGGGATGAGGAACAGCGTCGTGTTGGACTCCTTCATCGCCTTGGTAGACGCGTCCGTCTTGTGGACGGTGTAGTCGTCCCACGCAAGAAGCGTGTCAGGCTGACGGTAGCCGCCCAGGCGGCCGAGCCGCCCCGGGCGCCGGTTCCACACCTGCGGCACCCACACCTCGTCGAACACCCGCTGGGAGTGCCATCCCTTGGGGTCCACGGCGTAGGCCATACCTCGCGGGTACGCGCAGCCCTTCTTGTCCCTGTAGTCTTTGAACTCGCGCTCGATGCTGTTGGCGGCGGGGGACTTCCCCTTCGGAGTGGGCTGACCCTTGAAGATGAGAAGGGGCTGCAGCTTGGTGCCGTCGGCGAACACCGTCAGAACCGATGTGATGCGCATCTTCTCCTTGCCGCCGGTTTTGACGGAAATCTCCTTGTCGCCTGTGGCCTGCGGTATTCCGAACAGCGAAACCGACATCAACGTGGGGTGCGTCGAAACGACTTTTGTTGTAAAGATTCGGAAAGTGGCAGCAGTGCGTGCAAAAACACATGATCAGAATCACAGGAGAACAGGAAACGAAGGAAAAGACGAAAATTTCGCACACGTAGAAAGTTCATCATCAAAAGGGTGGCCCAAAAGAATCGTTGGCACAGGAAAGGACAACATTGCTACATCTAACGCAGTAAGAGCAAAAACTAGAGCAAAACTATTACGTACGTACTCACGTTCACAGTGTCCTTCCCCGGGCTCTCGAACCACGTGGGGGTTTCGTCCATGTTGCCGATCTGCGCCAAGTCGAACTTGAGACGCGGACCCGAAGGAATCACAGCGCCACTCCCACCCCCGCTGCCGCTCGCGCTGGCTCCCGCCCCTGCCGCAACCCCCAGGCACTCGACTCCGTCCGCAAGTTCGAGCGCGGAAGGCACGTCGTACTTCAGCGTCCTCCACTCCTTGATAGCCTGCATGGCGATCACGGGCCAGCCAGAAGGAAGTTTCTGGCCTTGTCGGGTGACCGCTCGCACAGAGAAGCGGTAGACCCTGAGAAACCTCCTGCACCACTGGTTCTGCCTGTTGTTGTACTTCTGGCAGCCCTGGAGATCGGATGGCGCCGGCCTCTCTCCGAAGAAGTTCGGGTTGAGTTCGACGGCCTTGTTCTTGAGCATTTTCGTCGAAACACGGGCGGAGATGCCTTCAGAACGCAGCTCGTTGATCCAGTCCACGATCTCGCCCTCGGCCGCTGTGTGCGTCCGGATCCGTCCGGCATGCAGCGACAAGCGCTTGTTGGCTGGCGTCTTCTTGCGCTTCGCTCCGCCCTTGTACGTGTCCATTTTCGCCAGCGCGGCTTCGTACTTGTCGATCTCCTTGACCCACAACGCCAACGTCGATTTGTCGCGAATGCCCAGGACTCTGCTCGCGTAGGTTATCCCAACAGTCCCGTCCGGCCCTTGTGCCCCCTTGACCCTCCTCTGTGAGTACCTCACCGCATCCACCTTAAATTTCAGAGGGTAGCGCTTCCGTTGGCTTCCGCCACCAAACTCGGGGATCGGGAAGCCCGGCGGCTCCAACTCCAGCTGTCCTTTCTTCCTCTTGTTCTTGTTCTCTGCCGGCGTACCGAAGAGAACGCCGCCGAGCCCATCTCCCCGCTCTGTTTCTCCGGGAAACATCATGTCGCCGGATGCATCACCTTTGGCCACCGGCGCTCCTCCCGCTGCCGGCGTTGCTGCTGCCGGTGCTGGAGCGGGCGCCGGTGCTGAAGCGGGCGCCGGTGCTGGAGCGGGCGCCGGTGCTGAAGCGGGCGCCGGTGCTGAAGCTGGCGCCGATGCTTGACCTGGCGCCGGTGCTGAAGCTGGCGCCAGTGCTGGGACGGGCGCCGGTGCTGGAGCTGGCGCCGATGCTGGAGCTGGCACCGGTGATGCTGGACCTGGAGGCGCAGGGGGTGTGCCACCCACCCTAGAGAAGACAAACGGAGACAAAAAAACGTGTGTGCGGGAAGGCACGAAGCGGTTCAACGGTGGAACGCACGGAAACGTGTGTCGTGTGGGCAGGAACCAAAGACGGTATGCTGATTGTTTTCTAGTCGACAAGGGCACCGATTCCAAATGTCGAAAACTCGTCGGCGGTTGAAAGCACAGGTGAATAAAAAATATGCAAAGCAGGCACCATTGAAAATTAACCAGGGTGGTATGGATGCCAGCTGCAAAACAAGAGGCAGCATTTCCACGACACATAACGCCATGCAGGAACATAAACGATAAAATGTGCACAATACCGACGTAGGTATGGCCATAAAAATAATACAACGAAACAAATGACGGAACGGGCACGCAATCGTTTACCAGGAACGTGTTGAGCCACACGCACACAAAACAACTCACAACATGTGTGCCGGGAACGTGTGGCTAAAAAAAAAAGGCCGCACGCAAAATAAATAAAGTAACGATAAATGTACCTACCGGGAGAGTGTGGCGCAAAAAAAAAAAAATACAGCCACACGAACCCTGGGTTGGCGTAAAGGCTAACCCACAATTGCACGTTTCGAGACCACACGCGGACTGATACTACGGTACGCCAAATCCACGAAGCACAAACCATGCACACTCACTTGGATCTTTCTTCCGTCCCAGCGGAAGTGGTGGGCTCCTCGTCCACCACGTCCACCAACTGAGATGCTTGGCTGCTGCGCGTTGATTCGTCGGCTTCGGTGCTCGAACGCGCTGCTGACATCAAGCCAGCAACTGGCTGCTGCTGAGGCGATGCAGAGGCTGTCATGTTTGCGCCTGTTGCTGCTCCAGCTCCTTCTGCTGCTGTTAGATCAACAGCAGCAGCAGGAGCAAGAGTGCCGGCAGGAGGAGCCTCTCTCGTAGAAGAAGAGTGCGCGGGCCCAAAGAAGGAGGTGATCTGCTGTGGCGCCTGTGCTGCTACAGTCGAAGCAGTTGCCGAAGCAGCGGTCGAAGGAGCGGGGGTACTACCGGTAGTGCCGGCTACACTCTGCTCTGCCTGCATGTTCATGTTCTTTGGGGTCTGCATGCGGGGTGTTCCTCCGCACACAGCTGTGTGTGTGGTGTGATGATGCGCAAGGGCAGATGCTGTCACCCCGGGTCATAAAAGAAGGGGGCCCGCGAATGCATGCGGCGCAACTACAAATACCACCGGGGTTTCTTATATTGTGTACCCCCGGTGATAATTCGATGGTCTGTCAGAGACGCCCAAAATTACCACCGGGGTGTCGTATACTGTGGGGGGTTTCTTATATTGTGTAGGTGTCTTATATTGTGTCATTTACGGGTATATCCAGCAGGAATGCTGTTGAGCGCGATTATGTGTGAAAAGTGATGAACAATGCTTCTGATGTGTCTCTTGTCTCGTCCCACATTCCATTCAAGTGTTGTCTTGTCTGCACATTACCTTGTAAACAAAAGTTCCTGACCGCCGCCAACCCCGGTCGATCAGCTCTTGGTAGTCAGCACACGTCAGTCTCTTCGCGAGCAGACCGTACGATACTGATGTCTTGGTGTCGGGCTTGCAGTACCCTGGCGACGCCACCATCGGCGGTTCACCCGCGGGCGGAACACCCGCCATGATTTCGGATGGAGCGGAAGGGCATCAGCAGAAACATGAAGTACCATCAATACTATGTTATTTGGCTAGGCACTCTGGGCACCCTCATGACCCCAACGTTTGCGAACGCCGGGCCGCTCGCGTTCGCGGCACCAGCCAAGGCCTCAGCGTTTGAGACGCCCAAGCTGTTGCTGCTGTGAAAGCTGCTGCTGCTGCTGTGTGTGGGCTGGACATCTACACAGCAGTACTAGAATATGCCTTCACCTTTGAGCCTCTTTCATTCAACTGGCGCAGAAGTGTGTGCCATATAACGTTATCTTCAGAAACAAGGGTGCCAGCGTGCCAGCGGCACTGAAGATTAGATATGCATGGCATACAAGACACAGACCTCGGGATGGTGTGCTCCGCATCTGCGTTCAAGTACAAAAGTACATACTCACCACATTTGGTCCTGTAAGTCCCGCATATCTCCACCAGCGATCTCGACTCCATTCCGATATATCCCGTGTTCCCAGAACCGACTCGCTGAGATGGTGGGCCTGCGCCGGCGTCTCTTTCTCTTTGCTTTCTCGCTATGGTTGCTCTCTCTGTATACTGCTGTGTACAGCAGCGGTAGGCCACCCTACCCTTGCATCACGAAACCCGCCGCACATATTTTTTTTCGAAACCGTTATGTTTCTTACCTCTCTCGGTCTCTCCATGTTGCTGCTCGTCTTGGCGACGTCGTTGGGTGGCGCAAGGGCGCAAGGGCGGACCCCTCCCACGTAATTCGCTCAGGGGGAGTATTTGTGGTCGGGCCCAAGACTACCGCGAGGACTATGAATCTGGGAGAGTTGTGGCTATGGGACAAGAAAAAACTCCCATGGAAAATTCGACAGGTTTGCGTCGTGTGCTACTGCTCTGTCTCGAATTGACTAGTACCAACTTCGTACGTGTCGTCGTAGCACATGCAATGTGAGCACGAACCCTTTCCTCCGGGGTTGGTTTATGCAAAATTGTCAGCGATTGTTTCATGCGAGTTTTTCGTAAAGCGTGATCGTCCAAGACCCACACTGTCCGATGTTCTGTAGCAGCTGATCGGCGCTTCATGTCAATTACGCCGCTGATTGGTTCACTATTGGCATGCTCTCCTTATGCATGTCGGTCGAGGTCTTCGCAGGAAAGCGGGAATCCTGCCGTCGATGATCTGAGGGAGAGGGTGGCTGAGCTCGCGGGGATAAATCTGACTGACTTTCTCGAAGAAGGTAAAGGAACAGGAGGTGGCGGCCAGACTCAGGGAGGGAAGGGCAAAACAAAGGTGGGATTTCGTTGGACATATTAGTCTAAAAGCAATAATTATAAATGCTACAAAGGCACTGACTGGTAACTTGCAGTGCAGCCGCAGAGCACTCTCCATTTCGCCTTGACCTCGCGGGTATTGCAGACCTTATCCGTCGTAGATGACCGGCTACAAGAAACCTCTCGACAGGCGGAGTCGCAGAAGAACTGATGTTGATGTTGAAGGTATTTTACACGTCGCATCCCAAACCGTGGCGTATAGCGGGGGTACACGGATGAACTCTCCAACGGTGACTTTCCGCAGAACTCATCACCAGGAGATGTTTATATACAAAAGTACTTACTGTAGACCGTAACGAGTTGAGTGAGTCAAAATTTATGTTCCAATTATTTTATATATCGGCTTTTGACTCAGTCATCCCATTGTGCGAACGAATCAGTTCAAGAAAACACGATTTGTCCGTGGTGCGAAGCAACACCGATGCCTATCCTGGGTACGCTCCATGCCACTGAACTATCGTCACAGCAACAACCGAAGGCCGCAGGGGGAGGTTTCTATCGGAACGATGGCGATGCCACCCCTCGTCCAATGCTCAGTAAGGAGGTACTCCGCACGCTCAACAGCGCTAAGGGGATCCTCATGTCGGTTGATTCTCAAGCAACGCCACCTACCCGAAATCTCCACAAGAAGTACCTAATGGTTCCGAGGTCCCTTCCTTCGAAGCTGGTCATGGACGTGCAAAGAGAGCGGTGGCAGGTGTGCGTTTTAGCATGAGGACGCCTGACGCACTGCGCAGTCATAGCGGGAATCCAGAGCACGGTGCCAGTAGTTCGCGTGGGCTCTCGTGATGACTACGTCCACGACCTGTATTGGTGAACATGGACGTATCCACGCTCACGCCGTACGCAGATTAACCGGGAACTCTTTGGTTTCAGTCAAGGGTTGGCTACGCATCACCAGTAGGAACAACGGGTTGCTTAGGTCTTCGACGAAAAGGGTGGTGCAGCGTACGGTATTGCTTTGTTAACACTCTCGAGTCCCATGTGTAACGCAACTAAGGACAATGTCGCATTGACGCCCAGATTATGATGGGTGGGGGTAACGACCGCGCGTCGTCAGATGAGGAGGAAGAGGAAGACGGCGATCATGGCGTGGATTCCCACGATGAAGGCTCAAAGGTGCGTGGGGTATAGTCGCTAAAAGAAGCTGATGCATAGTATGCCAAGGCAATCGAACCTATCCACACCTTTCTCAGTAGCGAACAGATTCCAATGGCTGAGTATTGTCGCATTACGATACGATGGATTACAATACTTGGCAAATCTATCACTGGTACACGAGAAGTTTACGGCGGGACTGTAGTCGTACCGTACTAGCGCACAGATGTTCTTGAAACGATCATTCGAGGACCACGCTTTCAACACAAGGACACTCTTCATGCGCCGATGCCTTGCTCCAAATATTCACGCGTAGCTGACTGTTACCGCAACATTGCAGATGGAACGATCGGGCAAAAAAAAAAACAAGCGGAAAAAGAACGCTAAGGCCCAGCGAAGCAAAAGGAAGGTGGGGTATTCCAAAGGTTCAAAACTCGGAACACAGCTGGTCGGGGGCACGGGGACCAGCGCCGGAGTCCGAGGTGGACAGCGAGGTCTGAAAGGAAGCTCTTCAGCTTTGGTAGGCGCCGGAGCCCACACAGCGCGAGACGAGGTGCCTACAGTCGTCGAGGAAAACAACTCGGAACGTGGCTCGTGTCTGATTTGGCTGGAACTATGATCGTGCCGCTCCCTACAGTTCTTTACCCTGTTTGGGGTGTAACCAACAACTAGAAATATCGCGTGTGGAGATGCTCACAACAATCGAATCGCTTTACTGAGCAAAGGACTCAGCAGTCCTACAGTTACAACATCGTCGCTTCTGCAGACTCAGCTGTTAAGTTGGACAGGCGTTAAGCGCTCGCACCCAGTGTTCCATCCGGTCTCCCATAGGGCGCCATTGAATAAATCTTTTGCTAGGAACCTCGGCTGACTATCGAGTACTTTCTCGACGGGATCGATCCATTTGTGCAGGATACTCCTCTCGTCAGCGCGGAAATGACAGGTCTCGCTTCTCTAGGCCCGGTCTTTGAGGTTGCCGGCGTTCCTGGGGATGTATTTAAGATGCCATATCAGGGCGACCTCTTCGGTACGGGAGGAACATATATGGAAGGGTGAGTGGGTGCTATATGGGGCTCAGGATGTTCCATTCTGGTGGCCGATTCCGATGTCCTCCTGGAGGTGGAAGAAACCGTTCGGTCAGGCACTACAGTTGTAGACCCATGCTGTCGGTCCGCTGAAGTTTGGCTTAGGAAGGCACCATCCATCTCTCGCATGTTTGTTTCTCCACATAGGTACCCTCGATCATGGGGTTAGGTTCTTCAAAACATATCTCCGTTTCACCACATATCCGACCTCTTGTTCCGTTAGTATTCTCATCACAGCAAGGGTAATCAAGTTCTCCTCTTAATCATCTCATCTCGTGTCTTGCCTACGATATACTGACCGGCGATTGTGTGTGCAACCCAGTATGGTGTACATGTCACGCATGCCTGTGGGAGGGAAGGAGGGTCAGTCTCGGCTTAGCAAGCGGTCTGGAGACGGGCCGAAGCGGAGCACGGGCACTGACGGGAGCAATGACACCGACCATGGACTGGACTCTGAACGTGAGTCACATTTAACTATAAACTTGGTTTGTGCGATCTTTACAACTGCTTGTAGATGAAGATTGGAAGAACTACCGGTATGATGAAGCAGAGAGTTGCGATATTATCGGGTGGTCCGATTTCTAATGATTCCTATTGGGCCACGCCACTGTGTTTCGAGTGGTGGTGTTTCGTTCCGACAGCTCTGTATCGACATGCTTCTACCGTCGTGAACTCTGTGTCCTTGGCCCTATTTTCCCTTCGGCTACCCGGCCATATACACCATCCAGGCGTTTCGGGCGACTCTGTGTCTAGCGGAGAGGGAGACCCCCAGCCGACGAACGAACAAATTCCATCTCAGCGAGAGCTTGAGGCAAAGATCCAATGCGCCAGCACCCTCCTTGCATGGTCTACCCACAGAGAAAACGCGCAGAGGCTTGCCAAGGTGTGGAAATTGACATTATTTTCACATGTAGCTCATCTAATGTACATGACCGGGTAAAAACTCTGCGTTCAGAGGGTGTGTGGTTGTTAATTTTAACTGCTGTCAGCAATGGAGGCTTCCCGACGACGTCAGCGGTTTTCGTTCGTCGAAGTTCTTTCTGTATACGGGCATCACTCCGAACCCTGTCTGTGTGTGGTCCTTCTGTTGTCCTCATTTACAGGAAGGTGCGGTCGAAGCCGTTTTGAGATTATGCAAGACGGACCACCTCATACTGCGGGGCTACTGCAGCGCCATCCTCAAGCAGTTTGCTGCAACGCCAATCTTGAGAGAGAAACTCGTCGCTCGAGGAGGGGTGAGCGAACATTACACCGCCCGCCGTTCACAAGACGTTCTCGAGTAAATTATTTCTCGCATGGCCGATACTTGAGGGTGCTACATTGAGCTTCCGGCACGGAAGTATGCCGTATACCAAACGTTCTCGCTGCGAACCTATGGCAAGACTTAAAAATGCTTGGTGTCGACGCTTGCGTAAGCTACCATCTGAAAACACGCGTGGAAAAAAAAAGGTAGCAGCACAACTTTCACGAGGAAACTACTCTAATACCTTTCATCATCCCCTTCCTCTTCACCGTCCTGACTTGACCCCCCCCGGTCGTGCGACCCCCTTCTGTGTCGATATACGCGAATCAGGTCCCTGTGATTGCAGACATGGCGTCTCAGTGCCGAAAAGAAGTAGTCCAGAGCAGCTGCATGGTGGCACTGGTCAACATTACTTGCATCAATGGCCAGGAGGTAGGAGATGTCAATACTTGACTGGACACAACGTCATAGGTCCTCAAGTAACTCCACAGCGACCTCGCCACGAGGCAACCTACACCTACAAAGAGTGCTTTGAAGATTTAGCCCCTGAAGTGTTCGTGCGTGTACTGATGGAAGCGTCTTGTCATGGATCACGAGACCAGACATTGCATGGCAGGACGTACACATTAGGGTGGGGGATGTGCTGCGCGTCGTCGGTCTTGAGTGGCGAACTTGGCTAGACTTCCAAAACACCCGACACTCACTACTTGAACCCGGTAACCCTGTTC